TATAAAATATTGAAGGTGCACCTCTTATGCCTTTTGAAATGTGCATAAACTGATAGACGCCCAAAAGACATATAAAGGCTATCATCTCCTGATCTAAAGGTGCCATTGAAACTTGGCAGTACACAGACCACAGATCTAACACAGTGAACCAGAGATTTTCATTTAGAGCCTCCAAAGTGTCTTCAATTCTGGGTAGTGTATACTGACTACGTATTGTCCTCCAGTTTATGGATGAGACAAAGGAACCTTCACTTTCCATGATGATCCCCTGGTCTTTCATTTGATGTATGGGTCTGTCTTAGCTATCAGCATCTTTTGGCACTATTCTCCGGGGGTCCCTCTTGAAAGGAGTCGCATTAGTTAGTCTAAAAGTGTGTTGAGCTCTCTTAGCACAGCCCATATTGATATCATTTATAGAGAGCACTTTTGGAAAATCAACAATTGCCATGTCAGTTTCATGTTCCAGGACTTGGGTCACTCAAATCAAATTTGAGAGTAAAGGCTGTATTTCTGACTTGATCTCTGCATACTTCAGCATAGGGGATAATACCAAGAACAGGATAGCAGTTATCTACATCTTTGTTGGTCATAGATGACTTGAAACTCTGCTGATTCAGCAGAGACTGTCAAAAATGTGATCCATGTGTGGCCACTACCACATCTAATAATTTACTTCTGTTGAATGGGCTTGTGGGAAACTTTTTCTTGATCAGCCAGCTGCAGCCACTGATCAGTGTATTCTGACAACAGAAAGTCAACACTGTCAGAATACAATGTCTCAGCAGGAATGATTTCTCTCTCTGCCTTGAATATTTGGATGGAGCAATTTGTTCATTTTTTTTTCCCTTCACCCTGCTGGCTGAGTGAAAAAAAAAAGATCCATCTTTGGCTAGCTTTACAATCATGATAGGATAGGGAGGACAATAACTCCATGTCACAACTGTGAATAATTCCACTTGGACTTATCAGTCCTTTCTCTCAGGAATTACCATCTTCTCTCCTATGTTAATTTCTTCAGAGGCTTGTATGATGACATAACGCCTACCACCAGCAGCTCAGGGACAATACTGGGGGCTATTCCTAATACTCCCTCTTCCCTGGTGGAATTTCTACTTAGTGTTCACCAATGTGGTACATCATTCCATGCTGATACTCAACAAAGAGGATATCTCAAAGATCTTTAAGTTCAGTTTGTAAATCGACATAATAAGAAGAAACAGTCCAACCTTCTTCAAGAAACATCTGGAAAGTATTATGTACAGCTTTACAATTAGTCACTAGTGTCACTGTTACTGTGTCACCAATGCCAGGACAGACAAAAACCATGATCTCCGTAGGGGGAACACCCTTGTACTTTGAACCTGAGACAGTCACAACTAGTCACAAATGTTCTTTCCAACAGGATGTGCCTCAGAGTCCAGTCCTCCGTATTTAATTTGCCCAATAGACTGAAGAGGTATGCTGCTTAAAGCATAACTTAAGGTGAAACTGTTTTTTAGTTTTGGACAGAGTGGAGATGGATTAGAACACCTGTCAGGTTTTTATTGCTGTCTATGCCCCCTTTAGGGTGATTCACCCTCTCCATTTGTCCTATTTGTCATTATCATTGAAAGTGCAAATAAAAGAAAAACCAAACTTTTGCGTTGTTCCAAAAAAGTTAATAGAGGGAAAATCTTCCAATGGGGGCACTAGTTCTGGTAACCTGTAGACCCCAAGGAATTCCATTAATTTGCAAGGATTTCCTCTCCTTTCTTGTTTTGGCTATGGGACAGAAAGTTAAGGCAAATTTCTCCAATGGGACACAGATGGCCAAAAAAACTGACAGGGGTTATAAATCTCCCTTACACTATCCAAAATAAAAAAAATGCCTATAGTTCTACTTTAAATACTTTTGGTAGAATGAAATATTAATCAGAGTAAATTGAGATCCTGTGTCAAATACAGCTGGTGTAGTATGTCCATTGACAGTGAACCATGGACTTTGAACCAATGAGAGGTCCTCTTGGATTTGGCTTGAAAGGCTCATATCTGTGTCTTCACTTCTATACAGTTAATGCCAAAATTTGTTCCCCTATAGTCCTCATAACACTGTTTGGCAGAATGGCCAGTCTAACCAAACCTAAGTCATCTCCTAGATTCTCTCTCTCTCCATGAAGCAGCTGGTTGAGCAACCAAATATATGGGTAGGTAAGACTCAAGATATCCTTCTTTGGAACAGAAGCATTGCCTTAGGCATTGAAGGGCTAACATTTCAGTCAGTTTGGTTAAAGTAAATACTGCGTTTTCACTGGTTTACTCACTATCAGCCATCTTCTGAGAATAACTAGCCAAAGAGAACAGTTTTGAAGAGAGCAAAAGCCTCTGTATACAGACCCTATTAATGGCTGCTAAACTCTTTAGGATAATGTTGTGGAATTTGTTCTGATTGTACTGTATTTGTTTTCTACAATATAATCAAATTGATATGTTTCTTGACTGTTTCTTTAATGATTGAAGACAACAACATAGTGAAATGGATTTTGTTATGGTGGGAAATGTGATTAATTTATTTATGGTTTTTCACATTTGGGTATTTGTGACCTAGCAGTAGAACCAAGCAGAGATTGCAAACCACTGATTTGTTTTTGATCTTCCCATAATAGAAAATTAGAAAATATCACACATATCATTTGTTTCCAATACAAAATTGTAGCTTCAGGGAGAGAGAAAAAAACAGGCATGAAACCTAATAGAGGAACTTCTAGTGCTTTTAAATTTTATTTTACATATTTTAATTTATATTAAGTTAATTTCTGATGTTATATTTTATTTTTGTTATTTGTTTGAAATTCTTATTTTCCAAATAGAAATGTAACACTAGTTGGTTGCATGCATCAGTGGGTGCAGTTCATGTTGACCCATCTAATAGGAGAGTTCAGCACTAGATCTGCATTTGGTGACTGCTCCTGCAAATTGAAGATTTATGGTACATGGCACCATCTCTGATAGGAGAGGAGGATGGGCTGAACAGAAAAAAATCTAACAGATTTCTCCATCCATGCTACACAGCACAGATGGGTGAATTCTCTGCTGTGGTTATTGTATTTTGACAGCTAGCCTACCAACTCACATATACCTGAACAGTGCCTGCATCTAAGTGGATGCAGGTGATATTTGCTGATAACTTTCCACCCGGTACCTTTGATTTTGCAGTTGAGGGATGTTGTGTAGGAGGAGACTGACACTGAGCTAATCTTGTCCCGATAATCAGGATTCAGACAAAATTCACTCTATGTATGGCCAGCTTTATTCGGCTGTTTCTGTGTACACTGTAACTCAGAGATCTCAGCACTAAAGCAGTTTTCTGAAATCCTGGCGTACCAGACTCACACTCACATTCTTCAGGCTGAAAATGCTGAATATGAAATATTTAAATGCCATGTTTTATGTATAGCTTATTAAATAGAAAATATAAGGAGGTCCTCTATACATTGCCTTTAAGAACCTGATGCCAATACATTCACAATTAATATTTTATATAGTTTTTAAGTTATAGACTTTCAAATATTATTAGATTGCTCCTAGGATGGCTTCCATATCCAAACTGTGAATGTACATTAGCATTTATATATGTAAAATTCACCTCTAGGAAAGCAACTAATTAAACAGTTGAAAGGCATATATTTTTTAAAGGATTTGTATTGCTATCCAGCCAGAGATTAGATTTATACAACCCTGCCAAAGAGCACAGTCATACTTGAAACTTAATGTTTTTCAACTGCGATTAAATAATGTAACACCCTCCAGTGTAGATAGTTTTTCATGTATATTTATAAACTTGCTAGAAGCCTTGGTGTAAGTCAGCCTGGGAGTGAGTCAGCAAAGTTACCTCAGGTTAGAGCTGGAGGGCTCTATAGGTCAGCTCTCTGATACCTCCCCCTGCTCTAGAGACTTGGAGAAGTTTCTAGAAGCCAGTGGGTGCAGGTGAGAAGGGGCTGATCTGCATATTTATGGGAGTCTGGCTAGTTCCCAGGCAGGAGGTTTGGCAAGTGGCTAGGTCAGCTCTTAAATATGACAAAGCCTGGTTAGCAAGGGGAGTCAGGTGGAAGATGGAGTGAGGAAGTGCTGCTGGTGTGGAGCCCACAGGAGTGAGATCTACCTACAGGCTTGGAACTGGAAAGAGGAATCTCCACTGTTCCACAGTCTACAGGAAGGGGTAGCCTGCCAGCAGAGGAACAAGCCAGCCCAGCAAAAGACCTGAAGGCAGCTTTACCTTTTAAACAGAAACAGGACATTGTGAGTACTTCTACACCCCCTGGGCCTACAACGGAGAGGGCAGTTAGTTGCAATACCTAACTAGTTTTCCATGGGACATCATTCTCATGTGTCTTGGAATCCCTTGCCTTGGGATTTTCCCATGACAGCCAGGTGGATGAGGACATTTTCATCTGGGGCCTGAAAAGGTTCATTTAAGGGGACCCAGTGCTCCTAGTAAAGACTGAGTGCTGATTCTTCAAAATACAAGAGCGACTCTTGAAGGAGTAGAAAGTCCAGGATCTATTGTTGTTCTTTTTTGCTGAATTCTTGCCATTTTTTACATAGGAAGTTGTCCTCCAAGTTGTTTCAGTTCCTTTGGGCATCCCATATATCCCTAGGCCCCATCCAATTTGTTAACCCCTAATAAAACAACAAAAACAAGCTCATGGACTGTTTACTGACTTTGGATGCAAGGGTGTAAAATGCGTGTTGCCTGGCTGTGCAGAGCTTAAGCCTTTGAGGACCAAGGGACATATTTGTCCCATGTTTTTAATTGCGTGTATCATCTGATTAAGAACTTAAAATTTTTTTTTTTTGTGGTTTGAGTCAAAATATTAGTTCTTATCATCAAACAACAAATGGATCTAGCTTTTTGCCAATTATTTCATGAAATGGCTTAGTTACAGCAACTGAAGTGTACGAACTTTAAAAACAAAAAAATTGATTCTTTTGGCGTTCCAAAATCTTACGGTCCTCAAAGGGTTAACCACTTCCCGTCCGGCCCATTTATATAAACGGCCAGATGGGAGCAGTGCAGAGGCAGGTTGCTGTTCAGAAATGGTGCCCGCCATTTTGGACTGTGCACGCGATCCAGTGCCCGCTGTGTCCTCAGGACACAGCAGAACACCGATTGCTGTACGAGACCTCTGAATGAGGTCCCAATCATGTGATCACTGATTGGCCAATCAGTGATCACATGAATAGTAGTAAGCAAGATGTCACTTCTGACATCATTGCTTACTACGTGTGAAATCTGTGAATGATCACAGAGGTCATATAGTACAAGGCTATTCACAAACAGCCTTGTACCATGTGACAAGCTGTGACCAATCACAGCTCACACAGTGTTTCTCAATGACTGCAAGAATGGGTGTAAAAGTAATCAGTGTAAAAAAAAAAATATTCATCACTCCCTAAAAAATAGTACAGTGTCACTATGGTGATACTGTACTGCTAGGGTGACAGTATGTTAAAAAAAACATAAATAATAATCTAAAAAATAAAATAAAAATGTAAAAAATGTTTTTTGAAAAATTATAATTTTTGGTTATAAACTAATTTGGGGTTGTTGTTTTTTTTTTTTTACTAAAAATGTAACTGAATACATTTTGGCCAAGATTTATGAAGAAAGATTATTTATTTGCAAAATTTTATTTTTTTTTTTTTTTAAAACACTTTTTTTCAAACTTTTTGGACTTTTTCATTTAGATAGCAAAAAAAATAAAAATCCCAATGGTGAATAAATACCACCAAAATAAAGTTTTATCTGTCTCAAAAAAATTCTACAAAAATTCATATGTGTACAATGTTGCATGACCGCGCAATTGTCATTGAAAGTGTGATAACACTGAAAGCTGAAAATTGGCCTGGACAGGAAGGGGGTAAAAGTGTCCGGACATGAAGTGCACCTAAAATTCAGCAGCTCTTGCAGGAGAAGCACTACAGTAAAACCGCTTAATTGCCTCTCTGTCCTCAACTTGTGATTGAACAGTGAAAGAGCAGGGGGCGATGAGCTCATCCCACTGCACTTTGCACTTTCCCGCTGTTTACCATACACACACACATAGTTTGCTTATAGAGCTGCTCCTCCCTCTCTTAGTCTAAGCACCACTGTAAAGTTAGGAATATATGGAATAGCAAGCATGCAAAAATTTTAACATCATATTGAAAGTTGAGCTATTTCAGACAGGTAAGATTCACACATTTGCATTAGCATTGTATTGTATATTAATCTGCGTTTTTAAGATGTGTTTTCATGTGTAAACATGTGCATTACATGGGTGGACACAGAAAGTTGTATTTATTGTTAGAGCCACACTATATGGGCTAATGTAAGTACCCATTGCAGACCCTTCTTTTTGAAAATGCTCATTCTCTAGCTCACTGATTGCTTTTGTCACTTGGTCTCTGTGTTAATCTCCCAAACAATAGGTATTATGTGTCCTAAAATCCATAATGACAATGCCTATCCAGGGTCTTTTATGGCAGAAAGTTGAAGACCAACATAGCCAGGCATCTAACATTTAGAAGCTGACCAAAAACCTTCTAAAAAGCCAGTGCCAAAAATATTATTTATGTTTTCCATGATTGCACCAGGACATCTAATAGCCAATAAATAGAGGCATTGCCCCAAGTGTAATTGAGATGGAGAGTAGAATAGCCGACGGTTATATATTGTATGGGGTTGCTGCTTTTTCTGTTGTAGTTGTTGAAGAGAAACATACAAAGAAAGAAAAGGAGGAACAGTATAAGGTCTATCCTTTTATTTTCACCAGGGAGCAAAGAGGCCAGTTCTAGGTCGTTTATTGTAAGCTTGTGACAATAAGCACTAAAATATCAAGTAAAAAACATTTGTTTACTCAGCAGTCTAGCGTGTGTGTTTTTCCTTTTCCTTATGGTGTTACATAGTTACATAGTTAGTCTGGCTGAAAAAAGACAAAAGTCCATCCAGTTCAACCATTAAAAAAAAAAAAAAGTTATAATCCTATACCCACAGTTGATCCAGAGGAAGGCAAAAAAACCCCCCAGCAAAGCATGATCCAATTTGCTCCTGCTGGGAAAAAAATTCCTTCCTGATTCCCCGAGAGGCAAGTTTTCCCTCTATCAACTTTACCTATAAATGTTAGTATCCAGTTATATTCTGTGTATCTAGGAAAGAATCCAGGTCTTTTTTGAAGCAATCCACTGAGCTGGCCAGAAGCAATTCTTGAGGGAGTCTATTCCACATTTTCACAGCTCTCACTGTGAAGAAACCTTTCCGTGTTTTGAGATTAAATTGCTTTTCCTCCAGACGTAAAGAGTGCCCCTTGTCCCCTGTGATGACCTCAGGGTGAATAGCTCTACACCGAGTTCACTATATGAATTACTGATGTATTTATTCATGTTGATCATATCCCCCCTTAATCTCTTCTCAAGAGAGAATAAATTCAGTTCCTCTAATCTTATCAGTTTGGTTGCCCTTCTCTGTACTTTCTCCAGTTCCCCAATGTTCTTTTTGTATATTGCATGCCATTATTAAGCTTGTGATCTACCAGAATACCCAGATCTTTCTCCACCATTGATTCCCCAGTTGTACCCCCCCTAGTATGTATGATGCATGCATATTCTTAGCCTCCAAGTGCATAACCTTACATTTATCAACATTAAACCTCTGGTTGTTTTTTCCAATTGCATTTTATTAGTATTGTATTGTTATGTAGGCGGGCACTTTAAATTTTAATGATTGTGTTCATTTTCATTTCATGTCATTTATATTGTTCCTCCTTTTTTGGTTGTTTATTCCTTAAGAATAGCACAATGTTTATATGGTTAACCTTTTTTTCAGCCCTGTTTGATAAACTTCTTGCTTTAGTCAGGCCTTACCTGGAGCATAAAGACACATTGTCCCCAGGAGCACCCCTTGGATTTGTCCCCGGGAGCCAGACACTGCAGAGTTAACATTGCAGTCTCCAACTTAAGTCGTGTTGCATAACCATCAGTCCAAAATGGTACCGCAAGAGCAGGCTGATCATGAGCGGTAATCCATGGTGCTGCACATACCACTCCAGCATTTAGATTGACACTTGTGCAGTCTGACTTGAGTTTGAGCCTGCATACTCCAGTTTTTACCCTATGCTGCCTGGCTCCTGCAGATGATGCTCTGAATGACCAAGAAACAGGAGCAAGAAGGCAATAAAGTTAGGTGCTTGAATGTGGAGGACACCAGGCAGGTATTTGCTCTTGACCTGAATTACCTGAACTATCTGTGCTACTTAAAGTGCTTGTAAACCCTTACATAAACCCAGTGAAGTGACTGGCCTCAGGTGATGCACAGAAATGAAACAAATCCTTCTACATATGTTGTACCTCTTTATCTATAGCTATCTTTCCCCTACATCCTATCAAAGTGCAGAATGTACACAGGATCTCTCAGCTCTGAAAAGCAGGGGGCAAAGTGCAGAAATTACATCAGTGAGGAGAGCTCTGAGAAATGATTGGAGGGAAGAGACACACCCCTTCACACAGCACAAAGGAACAGAGCTGAGGCTGTCAATCAATGCCCTCCCCGTCACCATTTTTCTTTTGGTGTCGAAAAACTCCTCAGAGGTAACTCATGCTTATAGCAGAGGAGCAGGGTAGCAGACAGAAATGACACTTGAGGTAGATTTACTAAAACTGGAGCACTCAGAATCTGGTGCAGGTGTGCATGGTAGCCAATCAGCTTCTAACTTCAGCTTGTTCAAGTTATCTTTGGCAAAAAAAACCTGGATTGGCTTCTATGCAGAGATGAACCAGATTTTGCACTCTCCAGTTTTAGTATATCTCCTGCTTTTGTTCTGGATTGAGACAGGCACGCACCATAGTTTTGTTCCAATTTCATGTCTGAGGTTTACAACCATTTTAATTGTGTCCCTTGATTTCTGTTCTTTACTTAACTCTGGCCTCTGAACTGTATGCACTACTAAACCCATACCCCTGAACTCTATGCGTTACTTAATCCTGACCTCTGAGCTCTGTGTGTTACCCAGTACTGACCCCTGAGCTCTGTACATTACTTAACCACTTCCAGACCGGACACTTTTACCCCCTTCCTGACCAGGGCAATTTTCAGCTTTCAGTGCTATCACACTTTGAATGACAATTGCGCGGTCATGCAACACTGTACCCAAATGAATTTTTTACCATTTTTTTGAGACAGATAAAGCTTTATTTTGGTGGTATTTATTCACTGCTTTTTATTTTTTTTGCTATGTAAATGAAAAGTCCCAAAAATTTTTTTAAAAAAGTGTTTTTTTAAAGAAAATTTTGCAAATAAATAATATTTCATCATAAATCTTGGCCAAAATGTATTCTGTTATCTTTTTAGTAAAAAAAAAATCCAAATTAGTTTATAACCAAAAATTATAATTTTTAAACATTTTTTTTTACATTTTTGTTTTATTTTTTTATATTATTATTTTTTATTTATTATTATTATTTTTTTTTTTTTTTTTACATACTGTCACCCTAGAAGTACAGTGTAACCATGGGGAAACTGTACTACTTGTGGGGGGATGATAAAGATTTTTTTTTTTTTGTACACTGATTGCTTTTACACCCATATAGGATGTAAAAGCAATCATTTCTCTTTCTCTCTGTCTGCATTCTTGCACTCATTGAGTAGTACTGAGTGAGCTGTGATTGGTCACAGCTTGTCACATGGTACAAAGCTGTTGTGAATAGCCTTGTACCATGTGACCTCTGTGATCATTCACTGATTTCACACGTAGTAAGCAATGATGTCACAAGTGACATCTTGCTTACTACTGTGCATGTGACCACTGATTGGCCAATCAGTGATCACATGATCGGGACCTCATACAGAGGTCCCGTCCGATGATCGGTGTTTCACTGTGTCCAGAGGACACAGCGGGCACCAGATCGCGGTGCTGCGTGCTCCCAGGGAGTGCGCACAAGCAGGGTGCGGGGAGGCCGTTTATAAACAGCCACCCGACCCTGCACTGTCACCGTCCAGCCGTTTATATGCAACGGCCGGTCGGGAAGTGGTTAATCCTGACCCCCTGGACTCTGTGCATTACTTAATCCTGACTCCTGGACTCTGCGCATTACTTAATCCTGACCCCTGAACTCATGCTGTCATTTAATTCTGACCCCTGAACTATCTGTGGTACTTAATCCTGACCCCAGAACTCTGGGCCCCTCAACTCTGAACTTTTGTGTATTATTTAACCCTGACCCCTAACTCTGTGCGTTACTTAATCTTGACCCCTGAATTCTGTGTGTTACTTAGTCCTATCTCCTGAACTCTCCATGTCACTTAATCCCGACCCGCTGTACTATTTGTGTTACTTAATCTTGACCCCAAAACTCTGTGCATTACTTAATCATAACCACTGACCTCAGAAGTTTGTGCATTTCTTAACCCTGATCCCTTAACTCTGTGAGTTACTTAATCCTGACCCCTGAACTCTGCTTTACTTTATCCTGGCCCATGAGCTCTGTGTGTTACCTAATCCTGACCCATGAGCTCTGTGTGTTACCTAATCCTGACCCATGAGCTCTGTGTGTTACCTAATCCTGACCCATGAGCTCTGTGTGTTACCTAAACCTGACCCCTGAACTCTGCTTCACTTTATCCTGGCCCATGAGCTCTGTGTGTTACCTAATCCTGACCCATGAGCTCTGTGTGTTACCTAATCCTGACCCATGAGCTCTGTGTGTTACCTAATCCTGACCCATGAGCTCTGTGTGTTACCTAATCCTGACCCATGAGCTCTGTGTGTTACCTAATCCTGACCCATGAGCTCTATGTGTTACGTAATCCTGACCCATGAGCTCTGTGTGTTACCTAATCCTGACCCATGAGCTCTGTGTGTTACCTAATCCTGTCCCCTGAACTCTGTGTGTTACCTATTCCTAACCCATGAGCTCTGTGTGTTACCTATTCCTGACCCATGAGCTCTGCGTGTTACTTAATCCTGACCCATGAGCTCTGTGTGTTACCTAATCCTGACCCATGAGCTTTGTGTGTTACCTAATCCTGACCCATGAGCTTTGTGTGTTACCTAATCCTGACCCATGAGCTCTGTGTGTTACCTAATCCTGACCCATGAGCTTTGTGTGTTACCTAATCCTGACCCATGAGCTTTGTGTGTTACCTAATCCTGACCCATGAGCTCTGTGTGTTACCTAATCCTGTCCCTTGAACTCTGCGTGTTACCTATTCCTGACCCATGAGCTCTGTGTGTTACCTAAGCCTGTCCCCTGAACTCTGCATGTTACCTATTCCTGACCCATGAGCTCTGTGTGTTACCTAATCCTGTCCCCTGAACTCTGCGTGTTACCTATTCCTGACCCATGAGCTCTGTGTGTTACCTAATCCTGTCCCGTGGACTCTGCGTGTTACCTATTCCTGACCCATGAGCTCTGTGTGTTACCAAATCCTGACCCATGAGCTCTGTGTGTTACCTAATCCTGACCCCTGAACTCTGCTTTACTTTATCCTGGCCCATGAGCTCTGTGTGTTACCTAATCCTGTCCCCTGAACTCTGCGTGTTACCTAATCCTGTCCCCTGAACTCTGCGTGTTACCTAATCCTGTCCCCTGAACTCTGCGTGTTACCTAATCCTGACCCATGAGCTCTGTGTGTTACCTAATCCTGTCCCCTGAACTCTGTGTGTTACCTATTCCTGACCCATGAGCTCTGTGTGTTACCTATTCCTGACCCATGAGCTCTGCGTGTTACTTAATCCTGACCCATGAGCTCTGTGTGTTACCTAATCCTGACCCATGAGCTTTGTGTGTTACCTAATCCTGACCCATGAGCTTTGTGTGTTACCTAATCCTGACCCATGAGCTCTGTGTGTTACCTAATCCTGACCCATGAGCTTTGTGTGTTACCTAATCCTGACCCATGAGCTTTGTGTGTTACCTAATCCTGACCCATGAGCTCTGTGTGTTACCTAATCCTGTCCCTTGAACTCTGCGTGTTACCTATTCCTGACCCATGAGCTCTGTGTGTTACCTAAGCCTGTCCCCTGAACTCTGCATGTTACCTGTTCCTGACCCATGAGCTCTGTGTGTTACCTAATCCTGTCCCCTGAACTCTGCGTGTTACCTATTCCTGACCCATGAGCTCTGTGTGTTACCTAATCCTGTCCCGTGGACTCTGCGTGTTACCTATTCCTGACCCATGAGCTCTGTGTGTTACCAAATCCTGACCCATGAGCTCTGTGTGTTACCTAATCCTGACCCCTGAACTCTGCTTTACTTTATCCTGGCCCATGAGCTCTGTGTGTTACCTAATCCTGTCCCCTGAACTCTGCGTGTTACCTAATCCTGTCCCCTGAACTCTGCGTGTTACCTAATCCTGTCCCCTGAACCTGCGTGTTACCTAATCCTGACCCATGAGCTCTGTGTTACCTAAGCCTGTCCCCTGAACTCTGCATGTTACCTGTTCCTGACCCATGAGCTCTGTGTGTTACCTAATCCTGTCCCCTGAACTCTGCGTGTTACCTATCCTGACCCATGAGCTCTGTGTGTTACCTAATCCTGACCCATGAGGTCTGTGTGTTACCTAATCCTGACCCATGAGCTCTGTGTGTTACCTAATCCTGACCCCTGAACTCTGCGTGTTACCTAATCCTGTCCCCTGAACTCTGCGTGTTACCTAATCCTGACCCATGAGCTCTGCGTGTTAGCTAATCCTGACCCTGAACTCTGCGTGTTACCTAATCCTGACCCATGAGCTCTGTGTGTTACCTAATCCTGACCCATGAGCTCTGTGTGTTAGCTAATCCTGACCCCTGAACTCTGCGTGTTACCTAATCCCCTGAACTCTGCGTGTTACCTAATCCTGACCCATGAGCTCTGTGTGTTACCTAATCCTGACCCCTACTCTGCGTGTTACCTAATCCTGACCCTGAGCTGTGTGTTACCTAATGACCCCTGACCTGACCCGTGAGCTCTGCGTGTTACCTAATCCTGACCCATGAGGTCTGAACTGTGTTACCTAATCCTGATCCTGACCCATGAGCTCTGTGTGTTACCTAATCCTGACCCATGAGCTCTGTGTGTTACCTAATCCTGACCCATGAACTCTGCGTGTTACCTAATCCTGACCCATGAGCTCTGCGTGTTACCTAATCCTGTCCCATGAGCTCTGTGTGTTACCTAATCCTGTCCCCTGAACTCTGTGCATTACGTAATGCTGACACAATGTGGCACACCCACAATTTGCTGCAGCAAGCTAAAGGAGCTGAATTATTCCTCTTTTCATGACGGTGCCAAAGGTATTTTGTCATTATGTCTTAAATGTCTGCCTCTTGTTCCAAAAGACTGTGAACATTTGTTTCTTGGTGTGGTAAAAATGGGGGTGTGTGATTTTGGGGGCATAGTTTAAATGAGGTTGTGGTTTTGTGGATGTGTATTAATGTGGGTATGGTTAATAGGGTGTTGCCAAATTTCATTTTTACAATCTGGTAACCTTACTTTAGGGTAATTATCTACAACGTGTATTCCTCATTGCATACTTCTGAAATAGAAAAAGTGTTATACAGTTATTAAAAGAAATTATACACTGTTTATGAGTTTAGACTTGTAGCCGTGTAAAGAGCGAGCATGTGTAAGTGCTGTGTGCATCAAGTGGCTGTACAATTGAACACAATGTGGAATAAACTGTACAGACAACATTTTTGCGTGTCGTAAAAAAAAGTTTTGCTTACATAAATTTCCATGTAAATAACATGAAGTTGGCTCAATGTGGCCACATTTGTAAATATTATAATACAAAAGAGCTAACATTTGCATAACAAATTAGCCCAAATATAGGCATCTTAAAAAAAGATCATTAGAAAATTAGAAGACAATGGCAGGTAGTTACCCTCTACCTGGAGGACGGACATCACCATGGAGTATTTCTATCATGAGGCTATCTTCTGGTAAAGGTCAATCAAGCTCATGCTAAAGTATGCATTAGCACTAAGGCTGCCCTCAAATTTCTTACTCACCGACTTCAGAATAGCTGAAATGTCTTCTGTGCCCATTCTGCCTGCTCCTGAGACAAAGAGCTGTGTGTGACAGCTCGGTCTCTGTGCTAGGAGCATGCAGTGAGCACACTCTCAACACAAAACATTCAGTCATATGTGCAACAAGAGTTAAACCCCCAACCAGGGGTGAGGAGAAAACTTATACTCAACCAAAAATGTAAACTCACATGATCCATCATTCAACCAGAAAACGGAACTCCCCCACAGTCCAGCGGTGGACTTTTCCTAGTCTATGGAGCCTACTTTGGGTATGATGACATCAGGAACGGTCCAATGCACAAGACGGCTAGAACACGGCTAGGTCAGTAGCCGCAGGGACCGGTCTTGTGCTGGGAGTCCTCTCGCCTCTTCCCTAGATAAAAAGGAGCAGTTAACTCGTGCAGTATGGGCAAAGCCCCACTGCATGGGAGAACTTTGCTTTGCCTGGAGACAGGCTTTCAGAAAACAAAATGTTACTGTGTCTACATGAAGTTTTGGCCCTACATTCTGTTCTCGTATTGCTATATAGATGGCATTGAAAGGTTCAGAATGTCTACTTTCTGAATTTAGGTCAGCTTTGCTTAAAAAATAATTGGAATCTTAAGCTTACTATGCAAAGTAGCTCTACAAGTATTCCATTTTTAGATGCTGAAATCATCATAGAGGAAGTCTGTTCATTAGCAGCACACTCTTTTGCAAATGTTCTGCAGACAATACGATCATATATTTGTGTATTAATTAG